TCTGCCCGCCTCAACCTCCCAAAGTGCTGGGATTACAGTTGTGAGCCACCATGCCTGGCCCACAATCTCTTTTTAAACAGGAATAGTATTTTATTGTGCCACAGTGTATTTACTCTGTCTTGGGTTTCTTCCAACTTTTTTGTATCACGAACTGCATAGTGGTGAACATCCATCTATCCATCTATCCTTTCCTGTCCATCTTTAATTTCTTCCACTTCTTGGAATTAATCATGTATATATCTAGTGTGTTTTAAAAATGTCATATGGGGCCGGGCGTGGTGGCTCATGCCTGTAATCCCAGCACTTTGGGAGACCGAGGTGGTGGATCACCTGAGGTCAGGAACAGCCTGGCAAACATGGCAAAACCCCATCTCTACTAAAAGTACAGAAATTAGCTGGGCGCGGCGACACAAGCTGGTAATCCCAGCTACTCGGGAGGCTGAGGTGAGAGAATCCCTTGAATCCGGGAGGCAGAGACTGCACTGAGCCGAGATTGCACCACTGCACTCCAGCCTGAGCGACAGAGCAAAACTCTGTCTCAAAAAAAAAAAAAAAAGTCATATGGACTTAAAAAAATTAATATGCTAGACAATAACATTCCCAGGCTAACTTTCTTTTCAATATTTCATCTTACTTTTGCCTTAGAATTTAGTGTCAACATTAGGATTTGTGGTGTAGCACTTTTTTTTAATTTTTATTATGAAGGATTTCAACTATATGCAAAAACAGATAGAATAATCTGTTGAAACCCCTTGTCCTCATCACACAGCTTCCACAGTGATTTAACTCAAGCCCAGTCTTCTTTTGTCTGTGCTTTCATTATCCACTTCTCCATTCTCATGTTAGTATTATTTTTTAATTGTGTGTGTGTATTTTAAAGTAGAGACAGTCTCCCTATGTTGCCCAGGCTGGTCTCAAACTCCTTGACACCAGCGATCCTCCCATGTCAACCTCCCAAAGTTCTGGGATTACAGTCATGATCTACCATACCTGGCCGCCCTTCCCATGTTATTTTGAAAGAAATTCTGTACATCATATTTTTTCACCCATAATTCAATGTGCATCTCTTAACAGATAAGGACTTTTAAAAAGCATAACTCAATACTATTACCACATCTAAAAAATTAGCAATTTCTTGATATCAAATATCTACTGTCCAGATTTTCCAGTTTTCTCGTAAATGTCATATGTATTTTAACTTTGTTTGTATCAGGTTCCAAAAAAGGTCCTTTTTTATTTGTTTGATAGATCTGTTAAATCTCTTTTAATCTGTAGGTTCTTCCTTCATCTTTTTTTTTTTTTTTTTTTTGTAAGTTATTTGACAACACAATTAGGACCCTGGGATTTTCTACTGTCTGGATTTTGCCATTTGGACCCTTTTGTATAGTTTAATATGCTACTCTGATGGGACCACTTTGAATGAACCAAAAAGCACTGTATCCACTGCTGTGTTTTCTTCTATTTCTTTTTTTTTTCTTTTTTTAAAATTTGAGATGGAGTCTCACTCTTGGTGCCCAGGTTGGAGTGCAGTGGCTCAATCTCAGCTCACTGCAACCTCCGCCCCGCCCTAGGTTCAAGGGGTTCTTTTGCCCCAGCCTTCTGAGTAGCTGGGATCACAGGCGCCCACCACCACACCCGGCTAATTTTTGTATTTTTAGTAGAGATAGGGGTTCACCATGTTTACCAGGTTGGTCTCGAACTCCTGACCTCAGGTGATCCCATTTCGGCCTCCCAAAGTGCTGGGATTACAGGCATGAGCCACCATGCCTGGCCGTTTTCTTCTGTTTCGTAAGTATTTGTTTCCTTGCACAAGTATTTGTTGCCTTGCACATAGTGGAGAAGTTTGCAGGAATTAGTATAAGATACTCTGTATTGTTCTGTCACCTTGCACTCCCTCACTGAACCCTGTTACATCATCCTGACTGTATCACCAGGACTGAGACTGTCTCACAGCCTTCATCCTACTTCTAGGAGCTCACCAAGGCTTCCCCATTGATACCCAGGCTCCCTCACCCCTTCTACTAAATTGCACTTACATTTGTAATGCACTTGCCTTTAGCTGATATGCATATTCATGTAAAGTTTTGTTGTTTTTGTTGTCCTTTGAGACAGAACACCCAGGCTGGAATGCGCCCAGGCTGGAATGTGGTAGTGTAGTCTTGGCTCATTGCAACCTCTACCCCCGCCCCTGAGTTCAAGCTATTCTCCTACCTCAGCCTCCCGAGTAGCTGGGACTACATGCATATGCCACCATGCCTAGCTAATTTTTGTTTTTTTTTTCTTCTAATTTTTGTATTTTTAGTAGAGACGGGGTTTCACCATGTTGACCAGGCTGGTCTTGAACTCCTGACCTCAGGTGATCCACCCACCTCAGCCTCCAAGTGCTGGGATTATAAGCGTGAGCCACTGCGCCTGGCCATATTCACATACATTTCATGGGTTAATGTTCTTTTCATATTAGTCATTCATATTTCTCAACCATCTTCAAGAATGAGCTTCTTGAGAGCATTTGCTTTGGTGTAAGAGCAAATTCATTCAGGCACTTAATCAGAAAAGTCTGGATTTTATGTAATCCATAAATAAATCGACTTGACGCACAAAGTATAATAAAGAGGGGAGTGAGTAGGATAGGTTAAAATAGTTGATTTAGTGGAATCTCATTTTTGTTACTTAAAACACGTATTAAAAGCATGTGTGTAAAAACATGGGTAAGGATGTAGAAGGATATTTAGTAAGGTGTTAATAGTCATATTTTAATGAATGGGGTTATAGGCTTTTCTCTACCTTCTTTGATAGTCAATCAACTAGAAAACCCTTCTGTTGAATAACTTTCTAAAAAGTGCCCCTTCTCCTTCCTGTCTCAGGAAGAGTTCATTGCATATATTTGACTCTTTATTTGATAAATTCGGGGTCTTACAAAATGTTGGAATCCCGTTTTGACATCCATTCTCATTATAGGTGGTTTGAATAATAGTAACTTTCTGTGAGATGTGCCATTACAAACAGGAATGTTTTCATGCAGGTCACACAGTCTATTTATATTATACCTTTGAATTAGAAAGAGGCACCCTCAGAACGTAATAACTAGAATTAAAGGCCTCCCCCACTGGCCATAGCAGCACCCCTAGCTCACAGCCAGTTGAAGGTGGTTTTGGTGTGAACACTAAGATGCCCCTTCCTGGTTGAATTGGGGCTGGTTCAGGCCCCACCTCCCTCCCGGCCAGGTACCATTTTGCTCATAACCCCCTGTAATAGCCCTGCAAGACACATATAAAATTTTATTTTGTAAAAAAGTTGTTAGTCCCCTAAACCAAAGAGCAACATCTACTGCAGAAATAAAAAGAAGTTAGTCATAGCAAAGAAGAAGTAACAGTATCTGGTTTTAATAATAGGTCATATATTCCATTGGTACATATTTACGAAGTGCCAAACTCAACTAACTTATTTTAAAAAAAAGAAAGGTCGGGCACAGTGGCTCACACCTATACGTCCAGCACTTTGGGAGGCCAAGGCAGGAGGATCGCTTAAAGCCAGGAGTTCAAGACCAACCTGGGCAACAAAGTGGGAATTTGTTCCTATAAAAAATTTTGTTAAAAATTGGCAGGGGTCCGGGTACAGTGGCTCACTCCTGTTACCCCCATACTTTAGGCTGAGGCAGGTGCATCACTTGAGCCCAGGACTTCAGACAAGCCTGGGCAACATGGCGAGACTCTGTCTCACCAAAAAA